CTGGAACCTGAAGGGAGCGGCGCTCCGACTCGGCGCGGTTCTCAGCCACCTGGGCTGGAGGGGGGGCCCGGTTTTTTTTTGGGGGGGGTTTAGGGGTTTAGGGTTTAGGGGTTTTGGGTTTGGATTCCGAAGCCTTGTTTTTGAATGAACCTCCGAACCGACAGGTTTGTTCAAACACAGACGCTCCAGCGGGCAGGCTGTTCACTCTTAAGGGGAGGCGTCCCCAAAGAATTGTACTTGGGGCTTATAGATTAAATTACTGCTCAGGTGTCTTTCCCCTGTGCGCCGACAGAGGCGGTCTGCAGCTGTCACTCTCAAGACAGAGAATGTTCGAAGCGACCTGTACTACAAGGGCTAGGTACTGCAATGGGTACTATCACGGATGCCGTCATGGTATACAAGGGTGGAGAGGGAGGTCGAAACGCCTTCAGATTTATGCGGCTGTAATTGGATGTCTGGCCACTTGACAGCTATGGAGCATCGAAGAGTTTCACCATGTTCCTTCTGGGAAGGTCCTCAGGCCCCGAATAGTACACAAGACTCAGGTATGCAATCTGGAACACAGATGCGATGCATTGCGTATCAGACAAAGCTTTGCAACAAATATCCAGACGAACCAGCAAACACAGGCTCCAAAGGACTTCTCACCCCCCAGCCACTCCCGCCACATGTGCCAGGGGGCATACGATGTACCGCCCACCAACAGCATTGCGGAGTACTTCTAACATCTCGTGCGTCAGGATCGGTCTTGTGAGTCCAGTGATTCGACAGCTTTCGATGCTGCCACTTGAGGCTTGCACTCTGAAAGCCTTGCGACAGGCCGAGCTCGCCAGCATGGAGTGACAGCGCTGTCACCGAGTCTAAGCAAGATGCAAGGCCCGAGATCCCTGAACTGGAATGCAGCATTCGAGCAAAGACCCCGAGCTGCTAGGAATCTACGCCTCAGCCCTGCGCACCTTCAGAACCGAGATGTCTCTGATAGAATATCGGGAAGCTGCACTTTGAGTTCTGGCCTGTTGAGTTTTCAGGCTTAGGATTCCGCTATGATGAATACGCCTTTTGTGTCGTAAGGCTTTTCCCGCTGCAGGGAAGAATCTTTGCGCATTTGGTTTCAGAAGTGGAAAGTACCACCCCTCGCCCTACACCCGAACTCAACAACACTGCAAGGTTAATGAAATGTGCTGACAGAGCAGCATCCCGCTGTGCAACATTGCGCAGCACTGCACTGGATCCTGAGAACATTTCTCGCGGAGCAACAACGACAGCAGAGTCGCACTGACATCAGCAGGAGCAGCCGGTAATTAGTCGTGAGGGTGGTGGAAGAGCAGCAGCAGCAGCAGCAGCAGCAGCAGTAGCAGAAGCAGAAGATAAACAGCAGTAGTATAGTAGTCGTCGTCGTAGTAGTAGTAGTGGTAGTGGTGGCGGCAGCACCAGGAGCAGGAGGAGGAGGAGCGGTAGTGGCAGTAGTAGTGGCAGTAGCAATGGGAATTGTAGAGGAAATAGAAATCGGAGGGAACCTTTGGTTGTTGAGCTTGCTCGCTCCAGAGGAGTGTCCCAGCGGCCTATGGTCGAAGCCGATAGCCTGACGTGCGAATCGCGCAACAAGTCAAAAAAATGATCTGCAGAAGGTTTGGGTTCCAGTGCGGCTGCAGCGCTTAACATGTCCCTGACTTGTTCAGGAGCAGCCCGACTTCGTTTGCTGAGCACGGCATGACATTCAGTTCTGCTTTGTGTGGATGTCAAAGACGCTTCCTGAACTGCAGCTTCCTTGCTTTTATGCGTCGAGCCCCTTGATGCTTCAAGTCGGTGGGCCTGATCTACAAAAGAACTAGCAGCCAGGCGCATATTGCGGCCATCAACTGTTTGCGTATGAGCCCATCCAATGAATACCCGTGAGAACATCAACACTCCACCAGCCGAGCCTGCACCAAACAGTTCCACGTGGTCATATTCAGGAGGCAAGTCTGGCACTCTAGCCCTCAGCTCCCACAGCCCCTCGCGGCAAAGAGGACGAGGAGGAGGCTGCAAGCTTGGGACTTCAGGTGCCAACGGGGCCAAATGGTGGGACTGTTGGGTTCGGCCCAAATGAGCTTCGAGTCTTGGGCCTTTTTCAAGATAGCACTGTCTTGTCGAAAATCTGCTGTTCCGAAGCATGGAGTACCACGTAATACCCAATGCCCGCCGCAGTGATTTGGGAGGGGGCCAAAGCTCGAAAACCCTGAAGCCGCACCTCATGACAAGAAGTCCCCTCATTTTCTGCGCTCACTTCACCGGGAGCCGTCTGCACCGGTGAAAGGGCTCAGCTGAGAGCATCTGTCCAAGAACTTGCTCAAGCAGCAAGTTCAATACAACGTTCGCCGGAATGGAAGCGATCTGTTTGAAGACCGTCAGGCTATTGAAGTTCATAGCAGCCAGGAGCTGGATGGGGTTGGAATTGCCACCAGCAGCCATAATAACGACAGATGCACGGATTTAAGTTGCTGTGAGATCGACTAGGAGTCTTTGCCGCAGTGTCTCTATGTTCCATGTATGAAAGGGATACTCAACATTATATGTTTGGTTACGCCCGCATGGTTCTGCCAGTTCTTGAATGCCCCTCTGTCAGGTCGACCCCCTCAGATGTCGCGGATCAAAGCCTTGTTCTCCAAGCAGCATCCTTGGCAGTCCAAAGTGATCAATTGCGGGTTTCTGGTTCAGCAAGGGACGTAAGCCGTCGTGCACAGCCATAGAGCCTTACAGGGCATTCTCCCTCGCAGGAGGGGCGTGCAGCGGTCATGAGGTGCCCCAAAACCCAAGGGTGTACCCAATCTGCACAATGCTATGAACTCAACGCCGCCTCAGAAATGTGGCGGGCTTCGCAGAAGGGTTCAGAGTTTGTGGACTTGGGGTGATTAGGAGTCTATAGAGCTTAGAAGACCATCCAGGTGTGCAGGCTTCTCCGGCGGCCTCATCAGTGGCAATGCGGAGCTCCCGCAACTTCTCATCCTCGGCCTCGACAAAGCCGGGAAGACAACTCTTCTTTACAGGCGCGGGCACTTGGGGGTCGTAGCGCACCTTGCCTTCTTTTGTCTTTCCCTGGTTGCTTTTTCAAATTTCTTCGATCGGATCGAAGTTGAGGCTCCTAGGATAGCGCTTGGAACTGGTTTGAGCCAGGGTCTTTCGATTGAGATTTGGGGCTGTAATGGCTGGGGCTAACCCAATTACTAATTACTGGTTCTGGACTCCCCAAACAGCCTTCGGAGTCGCCCCACCATTAGTTACAGGCTCTTCCCTCTGAGGATTTGCTTTCAAAATCTCATAGCACGTCACTTGGGCTCGGGCTTTGCAGTTTGAGAAGTTAAATCGCCCGACACCCAAAACATTTGTAGAGTGCAGCCATAGTAGTTGTAGGTAAAGATGGAACAAAAACGGAGCTTGGGAAAACTGCAGACCCGAAAATAGCGAAGCCCCGAGACCCGGAATTGCTCCAAAAAGAATCCCTAACTGCAAAAGCCCAGCTTCCCCACAAGGCTGAAGATCGGATCAGGTTGGGGCGACATCGTTGAAGATATGAAGAAGTGCCGGCCTCGGTTGTACCTAGGAGTTTCGGAATGACAAATCATAAGCCATCAAAATTCCACAGCTCCCGATCCGACCCGCGATTTGCCGCTGCCTCTTGCCTGTCCCTGTTTGTGGCTCCGTGAGTCAAGCAACACGCATCTGTACATCAGCCACCAAGGACGAGAGCTGCAATCGAGCCCTTCCAACACCTAACAACAATTGAATCTGAATGATAGTAGCAGAGCTTATCAAGCAGATCTGAATTCCTGAGAAATCGTCGTCTAAGTTTTGCTCGCACGATTTGCACTCTGAATCTGCAGTATGATGAGCAAGGCCCCGTGTCTTCCACACGGCGGCTCACCCTCCAAGCAAGCATACCCCGTCTTGCCATGTACAGGGCAATCTCAACGGTCAAAATGCCAAACCTCAGTCCTCCCTGCTTTCCATCACTACCCACACCAGGCCCGAAAAAAGTACACCGACCCATTTTCGCAGTCGGAAACAATACTCCAGGATGAGGACGCCGGATGCCGATGGCAAGGTCGAGGATCCCGGATACCACTACGAGGCGCCCTCCGGAACGAAGTGCCACATGAATTCGGGCCTTGCTCTAGCTGAAGGGAAGTACAGGGAAGCGAAGGTCCTCCATAGAAACCGGAAGTCCTCCGATTTCTTGCTACTAGTAAAAAAAGTCCCCATCCTTGCCTAATGCTTAACCACCCAGAACCAAGGTCCCCGAACCTCAAGCCTGCGCTAAAGCCATAAAGGCCTGCTCGTCTACTACACCACACTATACTCTACTCTACTCTACGCCACTAAAGTACACTATACTATACTATACTATTAGTCTAGACTACACTACATTATATTATGCTGATTCTTCTGTGCCACAGCAGGAGCTCAACCGCTCCTTCGCGTGCGGAGTGTGGGAAGTGCCCGGGACAGAAGCGATGAGGTTTGGCCAGCACGCTTGGGATTCGTTTCTACTGTAATATGACACAATACAATACAATAACACGTTATATGATACAACATATAGTATAGTGAAGTGTAATATGATATAATATAGTATAGTCTAGTGTAGTATAGTACAATAAAGTGCAGTATAGCTGATTATATTGATGTAGTAGAGCTTAGCAGAGTATGGTACATTACATACCATATTATATTTTTTATACTATATGAGATTACAAGCCCGTTTCTGTACAAACGTACGATTCAGAAGCCTTGGGTCGGGTCGTTTTTAGGGCTTTGTATGTGGATCCTAATATCTTACACTACCCAGACTTAGTAAGACTTCTCCTTCGGAGGCCGGTCTGGAAGCTTTTTTACCAGTCCATCAAGATCCACTGCGTGGTCTTCGTGGTGGATGCCAACGACAGCGAGCAGAGGTGCGCCCACACACACACACACTCAAGAAAGAAGGCTTCATGTAAAACTCAACAGACTTTCCCGGCCTCTATAATAAGTATATTACAAGCATTACTATATCACAACCCTAGGCAAGGATCTCTTTGGTTTGAGTAACTTTACTACCTCGAAGGATCAACATGGCAAAGAGACACTTGCACGTCCTGATGAACGAGGACGGCCGGAGGGTACAGGGGGACCTCCGCTTTGGTGCGGAGGTACAAGAACAAAGAGAGTTTAGGGTTTTTGGGGTTTAGGGTTTAGGGTTGATTCAAACCACGCTGTCGGAGAATTGCAAAGAGTTGTGATGTCTAGGCGCAGCAACCAGTACGTGTCTCAGTTGTTGTTTCTGGTCTTGTGGTAGATCTCACCGCAATCTGAGCTGGCTTTGAGCCAGCGCAGCTGTGGTGCATAGTTAGGTATTTCAATTTCCTCGTCACTAGCAATTTTTTTGTCTTCTACTACTCATGTCAAAATGCCTGATCATCGTGACAGAAGCAACAGCAACGGAGAAGTCGGGGACGGTAGAAATAGAGCGGAAGTGGAAGTGGCGAGGGCCGTGGCCGTTTGTCAGAGTGAAGACACTCGTACCAACAAGAGGGCGAGGAAGTAAGATCAGGAGGAGGAGGAGGAGGAGGAGGAGCAGGGGAGCCGGACCACCACTAACAGCACTGGCAGACTGGAAGGTGCAGGCCTTTGAATGTGTAACCCCGTCAAACCCGGACTTCGAACCAGGCCGAGCTACGCAATGCCTGCTTCTGTGCCAGCGCCTGACGAAGAGGTGTCCGTAAACCCTTAGCTCGAATATGTCTCGTTGCATGACGTCACACTGTAGAAGCGAGGACGGTTGTCCATAAATGAAAGCTAAGGTAGAGGATTGAGGGTGTGTGGCTGTCATACGTGGCCTCAGGGGCGGGTTTAGCATCTGCCCAAGGTCATCATCAACCAGAGGGTGGACGCTTCTGGAAACCTTGTGTGAGCCTCGGGCAGCCTTGAAGTGAGCGGGGTTTGCATAGCTGGGCTTCCTGATGTCACTGCTGCAAGAGCACGTCGAAGAGTTTTCCCCCCTCCAGAGGAACCCCAAGCACTCTGCTAGCGGCTAGCACTTTTGCCAACGGGCAGCCGAGGTCTACGATGACAAGGAGGACGTGCTCAAATACAAGCTCCTCGGCAGTCCGGGACACCGTTTTGTTGCTCAGTTCTATCAAGCCTCAACCATGAGCAAACAGCAGCAACCTAGTAGGCGATCAATCCGCTCGTACTACAGCTCCCTTGGCAGCCTACTGCTATGCAAAGGCTCGGCCTCCATGATCTCCACCCCTCTGTCGATTGGAGAACTAGGCGCCGGGGAAGGGCTACTCTTCACTTGCAACTACAAGGCAGGTAAGCTGAAGAGCGAAGAGTGCGTCTCCAATCTTCCAGGCACTTCGTCATCAACATCCTTGAGATCAAGGGCGAGTGCGCTGCTGAAGGGTTGCATGGGATGGACTGCGTGGAGAATATTGATTGATGGATAAAGATGCCCAGGGTGGGTGATGGGAAAGGACCAATTCAAGAAACAGGTATCAATGCCAACAACCCATAAACCACGGAAAGGTCCGACAAGGAGTGGCTGAACGTCATGAGCTTCACCAAGGAGAATGGCTGATGTGGGATTTTCCTGGTTTTTGGATTCGATTTCTGGAAAGGCAAGGGTTTCGAGAAGTTTAGGGCGTAAGCACCAGTAGAGCAATGTGTGTTTTGGAAGTGTTATGTTTTACCGGTGCTTGTGTATGTCTTAGTGGATGAGTACGTATGACGCAGATTTTTTCCACATATGTATATATGCATCTATTCTACATGTGCATTTGCTTCTTCCATGTCGTTCATTGTAAGTACACGCCTACTCACGCCTGGGTGCACTCACATGAGTTGTGTCTCGGTGCATGTTAGTGTGCTTGTGCTAGGTAAGTGCACAGTTCACTGGTTGGTGTTCACGCATCTGCGTATATACATATAAGCCCTAAACCCTGCGAGTCTCGGTACGACCCCAGAAAGTCAGGAAGTCCTCTCCGACAGCAAGGGCTTCGGCCTCAAAGTGTGAGAGGCCCTGGAAGCTCACGGACCACTCTTTGGGAGCTTGATGGAGCTTGGTTATGTCGGTTATGTACACACATATTACATACATATGTACATACATACATACATACATACATACATACATACATACATACATACATGTATACATAAGAGTGCTATGTATGTGTATATATATATATACACATGTGCATACGTACATATACACTTGCATACATACATACATACATACATGTGTATATGTATATGTATATGTATATGTATATGTATATGTATATGTATATGTATATGTATATGTATATATACACATACATACATATACATGTGTGCGTGTGTGTTTATGGACGATTTCTCTCAGGTTTGAGTTTTGCCGTCGAAACGGGGTTTTCCGGGCTTAGCTTGTTTAGGTTTTGCTCGGGGCTTAAAGATATGGGTGACCTTAGAGTTTAGCGCAGTTAGGGTCGATCCTGAAATCTTAGGCTTCGATGTCCATATGTGGATCGGACTAATTAAGCATCCAACGATTTTGGGGTTCATTTAGAGCCACATGGAGTAAGTAAGGGATCAAGTTTTAGTTTCAGCTTGAATGTGTTGTTGGATAGTTCAGGGCTTCGTTTCTGCAAACAGTACTCTGCAAGAGTCAGAGTTCGTAGATCCGTGTCGTTTCACTTTAGTGACAGGCCTCACCCCGCTTCACCCAATCCAGTTGACTCTCAAATACCCTACTAAATACACACTAGACAGACAGAACGATGAGTAAGTATGTATATACATGTGTGTATATGTACGTGTATACACATATATAACTCTATATATATATATACACATGTACACACACACACATGCACACACGAAGCCTTGAAAGTTGAGCATATAGATTCAGACACTCACTCATTCATTGCTGTTGCCCTTACCATGACTGCTAATCAGCTCTTGTTGTTCCGAGCTGAGTGAGGCTCTAGAAAGCTCCAGGCCTGCAAAGAAAGCCAGGCGGCCGAAAAGAGGCTCCTGGATGCCAGGCGAAGAAAGGAAAAGCGCAGGGTTCAAGGTTGAGGGATGAAAGAATGCCACGAACCGCTAGAGCCCTATCACAATTCCTGGACCGGAAACTTACGTAGGTTCATAGGGGTTGAATTGAAGTTCTAGGCCTAGGCCATCTTTTTCCGTTTCCGGTTGGTTCGGAAGAAGTGCTTCTTGAGAGTGTGGGCATTGGGTTTTTTGTGCTTTACTTCAGGTAAAGGTACATTCCATGGGTGGAGTACTACAATGAGTAGAGGGGATTTTCTGAACATAGCCATCTTTAGGGCCCTGTAAGAAATTGTTGAGCCTAGAGCACGATTTTCAGTTGTGCTTCTGCCACGATCTGTAGAAACTGCGGGGCTGGGGCCGCGGAATGAACTTTGTGCTGGGGCTCAGGCAAACAGCCAAATCCTTCTTCAAGACCAAATCTAAAGTCGAGGACTGGAAGGGGACATTCTGAGGGCAGTTGTCCTGCAAATGTACTCACATGCCCCAAAAGACATCGAAGGTCGCGGGCTGTGCCGAACCCCAAACTCGAAACTGTTAATATAGGGGCAGTAATATTTACAATGGGGTATTGGGGTATAGTATACTGCAATTGTAATAAGGAGCACCCCCAAACCCTATTCTAATTATTAAGGCCCCTACATTAGCCGAAACCGCTGGCAAGGTCGCACAATGTACGATAAGTCTGATAAGTATGGGTCAAGAAATGGGCACGATTGTGGGGTTTTCCACCGCCGCACTGTCTCCACCCAGTTTCTAAACTCGCGTTAGATTTGTGAGGTGTAGAAACCAAACCCACCTCAACTTCGCAGTGACCGAAATAAAATAAAACCCTGCTTGAAGGGGAATCGGGGGGCTGTTGTCCGAGAAAGCTTCAAGCACAAAGATAGCCCCTCCCATAAGCCCCCCCCCCCACACTAAAACAACACAACATCAAGCTACAGAGTTATTCTTGCACCTTGCAGCCCGTAGCTTGAATCTGCCATGGTGCGTGCTGCCTCACATCAGATACTGCGGCGGCCGCAGACGCCACAGGAGGCGCCATCGCTCATCAGTTTGCGTGGCAGCTTGTGCGAGACACTCCTTGAACCTCTAACCCCCCAAACCTTAAACTGACATCTAAGGGCTCATGTTTCTCGTGTTGCTATCCGAGCATCTCTCCGGGGGAAGTTGCCACGACAGACGGCAGTAGTCTCGTGGTTCATCAAGACTACTATGAGATCTGGGTAGCGATGCTTAGAGTTTCCAGTGAATTTTCTGGTACGGCTCCCCAATCACTGCCACAGCTCAGGGCACCTAACCCCAATCCCAAAAGTCCAAGCCCCAAAACCAAGCTGCTAGGATGATCTGCGGCCACAGTCCTCGCAAGCGTCGTCGCGCCCAGCGCAGCCACTTCGCTCCAGCTCTCCGCACACGGAGCAGCTCGGTTGAGAGTTTTGGGGAGTCTATGCGGGTTTGGAGGGTTTGAGGACTGATGACTCCATAGCTTCCGGCACAGATTCGTTGCTACATAGCGTTATTGTATGTATGTATGCATGTATGCAGGTATGCAGGTATGCATGTATGCATGTATGTATGTACATATGTGTTTATATACATGTGTATAGAAATCTATATGTATATGTAGAGTCAGTCGCAATTTGGAACCAACTATACCCTGAGCACTGAACCACAATCCGGGCTCGAGACAACACTGGAACCCAGCTCCTGAGTCCTGCACAGCAATAGCGAGGTGGCCGTCTTTAAGTATATTCAACGACTATAGGTTATACATTATACTGTACTACGTATTTCAGTATGTATATATATATATATACACATATATATATATACATATGTGTATATACATTTGTTTGTTTGTTGTTGCATTTATTCATTCATTTATTTGTTATAACCCTTTAGCCGAGGTGGCAGGGCCGCATCCTCGAAGAGCTCACAAAGACTTCGAAGCGCGGGAGGGCTCTCCCGACGCCGCGCTACAAGCGGCCTGGGCTCGCTTGCCAGTGCGTCTTAGGCCTTAGAGTTTAGGGCTTTAGAGCTGTAGGGCTTTCGAGTTGTATGTACGGTTTAGGGCTTAGGGGAGGGGTGGCGAGCGTTTAGAGATCAGGGTCAAACTAGACAGGGATTAGGAAGGAATGCTTTTTGCCGATTGTTTGGACTCCGATGCCATGGTGTTTGGCCTGTCTTTTCGTAACTTCATGGTATCTATAGTGTGACGTTGCAGCTTATGTCTCATGTTTCATCATCTCTAGTTGTACCCCACAAAAAGATATTTTTTTTGTCATCGTGCATTGTACCATAGGCATGGCCTCCCCCCAATGACCCATAATTCCCTTAGTAACACCAAGCAATACTGGTGCCAGAATGATTGTATCAGACCGATCTAGATCGAAACTCCTGCAGAAGGTGTTTACACCGAAGAGTAGCATACGTCAACCTAAAACCCCCAAACCCTAGGATAATCTTAAACCTCCTGTTAGGTTTTCGGGTTCGGGCTTTAGGGTTTAGGAAGTTCAGGGCGTCAGGGCTCGGGGTCAAAGCTGCTCCAGCAAGCAGGAAAGAGCCGGAGCTCCTACCCTTGAACTTGTCTTACGAGGCCGGGGCGGGGTTAATTCAAGGTTTTTAGGGGTTTCGGGTTTAGGGCGGTAAAGGGTAAGCAGGTGTTTTCGGGCTCCGGCGTTTTTAGGAGTTGGGATTTGTGGTTTCAGGATTGGGTTTGGTGCGCTCTGAGGCGGGTTAGGCTCGAGAGTGGTATGGATGGGGGGAGGGGGACTCATAAACATGTGTCGGTTGTTGATTTAGGGAATCGAGGGGAGATGCTGCTTGGGGAGCCCAATGCCGACTTTAGCCAAGGCCTGCAGTACAGCTCCTTGGCTTGCAGCGCAGTTCGGAAGGTTCCGCTGCCTGTGCAGTAGGCTTCGAGGCTTCAGATTCTAGCTTCCCGCAGTTTTGATTTCTTTCTGGCTATCTGCAGCGGAAAACTCAAGTCAGAATCTGGAGCCCAGTGATGGGCCTGCAGCATGTAGGAGCTGCGGTACTTCAACAACTGTGCGCGTGCTAAGGTCTATGGTGCACAGTAGGATCCCAGAACCCGTCTGTTACGACGTGGCCACATAGGCTTCACGGGAGCTTACAGATTGTGCACGTCGGATTACTGAATCGTCACTGTGCGGCATGCTTTTGTTTCACTTGTAGAACACCCACCTAGGACTGTTCCGACGGCAAGTTGCTGCCTGAGGAGGAGTCACCGCAGGCGATCAGGGGGCTCAGTCAGTGGGTTAGGATTTGGGCTACACAGCCTCCGAGTCTCCAGAAGCTGAATGCTCCTTGGCTTGCTGCATACCGCATAATGTTAACGCCTTACCTGGGAGGGTTTTGTCAATCTTCATGAGAGAAACCACGTCCTGAGGAGGTGAGACCCGCCACACCTGACAGTGTTGAATCAGACCCGAACTTATTCAAACACACGAGCTGCACATGACACCGTAGCAGTCCTTCTTCTTTGCCCTGTCGGGAACCACCTGCCCAAATTCGAAGCACAAGCACGTCGGGCGCTCCCCAAAGTGCCTATAGAGTGCCCCTGTGGCCACGGTGCCCCAAGCCCAGTATGAGTGTCACAAGATGTTTCAATCAGGGACCAGCACTGGTCTTGAGGCACAGCCTCCAACGAGAGGTGCTCTTCCCATACGTGAGGTGGGCTGGCATACTGATTCGACCTTCGCCATCCAGGTGAGGGGGCTTAATTAGGCGCCGCCCACGCCTAGGCCTCAAACTTAGGCATAAAGCCAGCAAGGCTTTGCAAGCCCGAAGAGAAGGGCAGTCCAAGGCTCCAAGCCCGAGAGGGAGGTACGAATCCAAGGCCCGTTTACCTTTCCAGCCCTGACTGGGCAGCTACACCAAAATCCTCGTAAACTCAAACTAGAACCCCCTCCCCAAGCATTCCCCAAAGCCCCAGAGCTAGGGATGCACTTGTACAGGAGCTCAAACGGCCACTTCAGAATGATGTGAAGCTGACCCGCTCCACCTCGGAGTTGGCACAGTGGCTACCTGACATCACAGAGGCTCGGTGCAGCTCGGGGCTTAGGCTCAGGGATCTCAGGGTTCAGGGTTCGGGGACACCTATACCAAGCAAGAGGCCCCAAGGCCCCTAGCAAGGGTTTTTTAAGAGCTTCAGGAGAGGAGCCTCGGTGCCTTGAGATGTTCGGGCCTGGGCTTAAGACTTCGACCCCTCCACAGCGAACGTGGAACCGCCGGGCTCGGAAGGACCACGGCAGAAGGCTTCGAGATTCGGCTTGCAGACCGACTGACGGCTTCGTCCTGAAAAGCCTGCAGCCTCAAAAGCCCCGATCCGAGGCCGAAGCACCAGGCTTCCAAGCCCCGTTGAAGGTGACCTTGTTGGTGGTTGCGGTACCCGCAATTGCAACGTGAGCAATGGCACGAAAACGACAAGCATTCCTGCAAGCAATGGCAAGTATCTCAATGGTCAGGAACATGTGCTAGAAGGAGAACGGGACTGACATCACTTGTGCCAGTCGGAACTGCAATCGTTGAATGACCTTAACGGGCATTGGCTTTCACGTGACAGTCAATGCATCCGGTGCTGCAGCGTTGATGCAGAATCCGCCTTGATGCTTTGAATGTTCATGTTGTGGTTCTGGTGGTTTTGGTTGTCGTCGGCGAGCTGCGGCTTTGGTGGTTTGTTCTAGAGTCGTAGAAAGAGGAGGCGGCGCGGCAGAATCCCTGTCGTGTGCTCGGGATGATGTTGTCTTGTTGCCTGTGGCGAAATGAAACGATACTGCTCGGCAGGTCATCTCCCGGTTGAGGGCGGGCGCGGATGGCTTCTCTTCCACAGAGATGCTCGGAGGAGAAGAGAGGCTTTGGGATCAGACAGAGCACTTGGCGAGGGAGGCAGACGTTTTCGGATCATTGGCTGAAGTGTTTCTGCGTGCGAATTTAGGAAGTCGGAGTGTTGGGATGTGGGACTCTCGGGGAGTTTGGCCTGTAGGCTTGATCGGACGAGGAAAGTCCTCGTGTAGCTGCATCAAGCGTCGCCGAGAGTGGCAATGACCACCACAATGACTACATGAGCCGATCCAGATATGTTCGCGACTGGATATGTGCAAATAGAAGCCCAGACGCCTATTGCAAATCACAAGCCACTAGCGGGCATTCGCCACTGCAACCTTCGTCATCACCATCATCAAGTTTTTCAGCCTATTTTAGGCCCGAAACGCAAGAACCCACAGGCCCGGAGGCACGCAAAACAAAGAAGCACTTTGCACCCAAGATTGTGCTAACTGAGGCTCTGAGCAGGCTGAGCTCTGTTTGGGTACACTGCCTAGTCTTTCGTTTTCGGGTAAAGGTCTTCCTAGCCTTAAAAACTTATAAACCTTGATCCTTCATGTCCTTCTATATAAACGGAAGTTGAGGACACTCGCCAGCTTTCCTTCCTCGTCCAGCATGTGAATCTGCCCCCTCACTCAGCCCACGGCCAAAAAGGATGGAGCGGATCAACACCGCCTTCCAACGCCACCTGCCTGGCAATCCGATGACTGCGTGGTTGCGACATCTGACTCCCCCAAAACGCAGAGTTCGTTGTCTCGGCATTTGCACAGGAGGCCACATCCTGCACCCTGCAGGGGCGCAGTTGTGGTTCCGTATGCACTTCCTGACGTGATGTGCTGTATTCTTGTGCCCGTCTACCTCAGCTTGAGCTTTTGCTTCGGAAGAGTATACTATACACAGAGTCATAGTAACTATGAATGAGGAATCGAGTTCTGCATGCTGCTGCGTGGCTGCTTTTGGCTCCCGACGATTCAGATGATTCCTGAGGTTTCAAGGATCCGGACAATCCGGAGATCCACAAGGATGAGCTTCCCAAGGCACACGAGGGTAGGGTTAAGGGTTTAGGGTTCAACCGAGTCCAGATTGCTGGGAGTCGCCTCAGTACTCAGGAATTCGTTGGGGTTCGGTTCTGCTTCCGCTGTCTGTACTCCCGCACCTGTCGGGGTCTTGAGAAGCAGAAGTAGTAACAGAGTTTCGGTGCAAATCGGGATACTACAACTGCTTGTTCAGGCCCGTGTATCATTAGGCATCTCGGAACAAGATGTCTCATGGGAGACCGATGCAGCCCAGGTGCTTATGCATCTCGGCTACACGCAAATCCATGATGCCCGCGTCCGTGATCTTGCAGACGGAATTACGAGGCGTGATCTCCGATGTCTTCTTCGAAACTGATGTGTGACTATCTCTGCTGTTTTATGTGTTCAAGGCTGCTTGTGTTTTTCATGCAGCAGCGGGTGATCGCTCCAAGAAACTCAGGGTCCGCCAATGGCAGGTATCCCATGCTGGAGAAGGCGGAGTTTATCACCTTCATGGAGCAGCCGAAGCTGCAGTTCAGAAAGTCTCGTTCTTGATCGGAGTGATGGCAACGACAGCAGCTCCAAGACAGAACAGGACATGAACCCAAAACCCTGGCAATGTCTTCAAGGAAACACGTGGAGTACGAGCTGCATGCCTTCAGGGACATCTTCGAGAGGTTTGATGCAGATGGTCCGGCCCCAAGACTCCGCCCTTGGTTCATGCCAGGAATCCAACCAAGATGCTCTGACCCACTGAGGAAATGGCTGCCTGGATGCGGGTGAGCTGCACGTCTTCCTCTCCTCGCTGGGCTTCACTCCGCTGCGGAGTATCATCCGAGAGTCCCTGGACCTCGTGGACCTGGACCTCAGACCTGAAGTATTGATATAGGGGTTTTATAATAATTATAATTAGAATAGGGTTTGGGGGTATGTAAGGAGGAACCCCGGAACCCCCAAAACCGCATTCTCATTGCTAAGACCTCTACATTAGTTCAGGGACTTGCCGGACTATTCCTGAAACCATGCAGTGAAGAGCCTGGGCTTGGCATCCCTTTGTGAACTCGGGTCGCGCCACGGTGGGTTTCTACATGCGGGGGGGGGGGGAATTCCGGATGCCACTGCAGGAATGAAGTTAAGTAATCTGTCCCCTTGTTCCACTGGCAACTTGCTGGCCCGACCTCCACTTCGGCCCTCGAAGTTTCAATAGTGAAACGTAGTCCGAAGATGTTTGGGCTTAATGCATGCTTTAACAGTCTGCAGAAACAAACTCGCGAAGTCAAGGACGGCAATGGCACGCTCGACTTTGAGGAGACCGTGATCCTCATGCACGTTTACAGGCCCTGCTTGGGGGTCGAAGACCGAAAGATAGGTCAGATCGGGAGCAAGAGCAGGCTTTTTTTTTGGGGTGGGGAGGGGGGGGGGAGATCAAGCAACCCTAAAGTCCCAAAATGTGAGACTAGCCGCTGCAGTTTCGAGGGCCTGAAAAGTGTCAAAGCCCCCGGCAACTGCATCTCTCAGCCTGCATGACTGACTAGACCCACACCACTTCTAGTCTCTTTGTATATGCATATATATATATACATTGACCCGGGAAACTGGGTCCCGGTTTCGTCCCCCCCTGAAGCCGAAATCCGAATCT